CTTCCAAAGTAGGCACAAGCTGATAGTCAAGAAATGTGAAGCAGTGATGTAAAGGGTCAAAGAACTGGAAGAGAACCTTCATCATGTCTTCCTCTGTGTTGGAAGTGACCAAGTTGAGTAGACGACCATGCCTCTCGGTGAATGGTGAGTTCTCAAGAATCCTTGAAGCTAGCTCCTTGAGTTGTGGAGGAATTCTTACAAGGTTGACTTGGATAGTTTTCCTGCGAAGTGACACCATATCCTACAAAACAAGAACAAAGATGAATTTCCCAAAATTCTTGAAATGGTTAGTGGATACATATGATGTTCATGATGTCCATGATGTTATGCACAAGTATATATGTACAAGCAAATCACACAAGTTCCTAGTTTAGGCTTGCATGGGGTTTCATAGGTAAGTACCCTCTTGAAGTTTAGTTGGCTCAACCTGTCCTAGAAATAGTAACCGGGTTCTAAGGAGCTCAATATCACTGGATTGTTTCCTTGTTCATTATTTTAATTCAAGCCTCTTTACTGGCGACCTAAATATTCCAAGGAACCAACCCTCAATGAGTGTAGTATCGAGTATCTACCAACTTCGGACTGCACCAAAGCCGGCCATCTCACTACATCCTAAAAGGCCAAGTTGGTCAAGTAAAGGTTCTAGAAGTTGGTTAGTGCTTCATGACATTACTCAGCGGCCCTGTATTCTCTTTGATTGACTCAAAGGCTACCGGTACCCACAAATATGTCACACTAACATAGCTATTGCTTAGACCGTGTCGGTATACCCCACACAGTTTCCACAACGTATTGCTATTTACCTATAATGTTTCCCAAATCCGGGTGGAGGATTCAAACCCAAACAATAGAACCAAGATGTAAAGCAAATAAGTCAAACAATTGTAAGCAAATAAAGGTGATCTAAACCCTAAGGTAACCCCACTTTTAAAAATTTCCCCAGCAGAGTCGTCAGTTCTGTGATACGGTGGGAGAACTGACTTGAGGTTTTGCGTTTTGTCGCAAATGTCGTGGTTAGCAAGAGTCGCCACCGAATTTTATTTTATCCAAAAGGAAAGGTAAAAAAGCACAGGAAAGACCTTTGAGATGTTTTCTTGAGTTCGTGGGGTAGATTATGAAAAGGGAAGGTGCTAGCACCCTTTTCATCTATGGTTTTCCATGGGCTCTTAGTTACTTGCTTAGATCACTTGCTTTGCTTTGTTTCAAATGGTGTTTGGTGTGCTTTTGGAAGTATTTTGAAAAGAGGTCATTCATTTAGGAAATCTTTGTAATGATTCTATTTCGTAAGAATGTATACAAAGATATTTGTCTTTTGAAAAATGTTTCAATGTTTTGAAAGATGTTTGGAAATTTTTTTGAAATGTGTGTGTGTTTGTTTTTTTTTTAAATAGCAAGGATTGTTTTGAAATGGAGCAAGTAACTTAGAAGCTATCTACCTACTCAAATGTATTTCTTGTGCATTTTTATTCCTTTGACATTGTTGACTTACCATTGATTTGGTAAGCAACCCTATCTTTGGATGTAAACGGGACGAGCGTGGGTCATCGTATGACCATGATAGCAATGTTGTCAAGTATCTTAGCATTTTTGAGGGACCAATATCATTTTGTTTTAGGCAACCTTTATATAGCGTCATCGAGGGACTATGATCTTATTTTTGTTTTTTTTTTGCCAAGGTACTTCGCATGCTTAACATGGCCACTTTATTTTAGGCAACCAAGTGGGTGAAACCCTAAGGGTGCTTATGTGCAAAGTGTAAAAATGCCAACTTCCCTTCTTCGATACTCCCTAACCAAAAATGATCTTGGAGAGTTCTTGGACATTTTGGAAATCTTGAAATGTGCTCTATAATCCATATTTGAAATGCATTTTGAGATACCTATTGGAACTAGGTGAAAAATATCCATGAAGTTGGGTCAAAAACCTGCCTAAATTAGGGCAAAATTTCACTAAGTTAAGAAGTTCATGGACCCATGTTCATAAATTCATAACTTGAAATCCAAGCTTCTTTTGAGAAAAGTTTGTGAAGAAAAGTTGTAGATTTCACAGAGGACTACAACTTTCATGTTGGAAGTTTTCTTTGAATCAAATTGCATCATGGTGAAAAAGTGGTGGAAAGTTGGGAAAAAAATAAGAAAATTTTCATACTTAGAAAAATTCTAAGTTATGAAAATTTTCAAATTCAAAACCCTAATTTTCAATATTGGTTTTCTTGGTGAACAAGTTTCATATTTTGACATATCTTGATGAATTATGACCCTTGGCATTTGATTTTGACCAAAAAGTCAAAGTTTGACTTTTCAGTGTACAGTTGACTTTTGATCAGTTGACTAGAAAATTCATCTGTCAATCCAATGAACTTGAGATCTTTTGAACCATGTAATTAGGTCAAGATGATGCCATTGAAACCTTGAAATCATGCTTGAACTCAGTTGGTCATTGGCTAGGTTAAAAATCAGAAATTGCATTTCTTAGTCAAAACCCTAATTTTGACCATTTTGCCCTTTTGATGATTTGATCAAATTTCTTGAGGAGTTGTGATCCAAACTTGATCAAATAGTACATATGAGTCTAAAATGTTGTTGTGGATCAAAAATTATGAAGTTTGACTGTAAATTGGTCATGGTTGACTTTTTCCCCAATACAGCTGATTTTTAGGTCAACTATCCAATTGACTGATCAAAAATGTGATTCAAGGCTTGAAAATTAACATGAGCAATATTAGGGGTCCAAGATGGTGTATGAAAGTCACATGAAGCATTTATAGTCCAAAAATCCTTGTGCAAGCTCAAACCCTAATTTTAGGTTATTAGTGCAAGGGGATGCCTCGAGTGTAAATCCTTATCCGAAACAATTCAAATAGAGCCAACGGAAAAATGTAAAAGAATATTTGATTTGAATCAAGTGTAAAGTCTAATTTGAATCACATCATGTCGTGGTGACCTAGAAAATGTCTTATTCGAATCAGGTGTAAATTCTTATTTGAATCAAAGTGTTTGAAAACCTTTGGTTTGTCTCTGTTCAATGTGATTCGAGTCAGGATATGTGTTTGATTCGAATCAAACACACAAAATCTCAATTTTCATAGTTTTCTAAATACTTTGAGATTTTTCTTTCCACCTAACTTGAATCAATAACACACATGATTCTTATTTTACTTTGACTAAAAGCATCATGATCAAGCTCGAATATAACTATTGATTTATACATGCTAAAACGAATAAACTAATCAATTAAAACTTGAGCCAAAGATGTGCAATCATGAAAGAAATTCAATAAATGATAATAAACGAAAACGAAAAGACAATCAACAAAATAACTGTATTAGCCCCTGAATGTGTTAAGGATATGCAACAGTCTCCCATTAAAGATACGCAGCTTCATCCATGGGGTGGAATAAGTATTTCTCAAAACTTTTTATAATATGGACTCCAAAATTACTATCTGAGTTCGGCCTTATATAGACTTCGGGCTATCCGATTCTAAATGAGATGTTTATTTTATTATTTTCAATACAAAAACTACAATAAATTCACATAAAATATTTATTATAAATATAATAAAAATATTATATTATTTTAAACATAATATAATTTTAAATACTTTATTATTTTTTATAAATATAATAGTATATTTTTAAATACAATACATGTCTAAATTATATATATGTATAATAATATTCAGAAAATTAACATAAAAAAACTTAATAGAATGACAATTATAAAGTAAAACACAAAATAATTGAATATAAATTTGATTATATTAATATATAATATTTAAAAAATAAAAATAAAATTGAATAGAAATAAAATTTAATGAGATGAAAAAATTATTTTAGAGTAAAAAAATTGTTTTTAAAATTTATAATTATACAAGTCTAACAAACTACTCGTGACTTATATAGACTAACCCTAAATTAACATACTTTTTAGAATTCGACTAAAATAATACTCTAGTGAATAGTGGATTTTTTATGGAAAATAATAACATATACTCTTAGAACACATGTTAAAAGATTATTTGTAATAATATTTTCTTAGAATATATATATTTAACTTTATAAAACTTTTAATATGACTTTATCAAATATAATTTTTTTAAATTATAGTACCATTGCATGACCCTATCTTAACGATTATCCCGACATGTGTCCAACTATCAAAAGCATGTGCTAAAACGCACGCCACATGTGTCCAATAGTCAAGAGCGTGTGCCAAACAATCAAGGGCGTGTGCAAAGGATGCAAATCTACTGACTTTGAACTGGGAAAGTCAGGGTGACTCTCAACCATTATCATTCGTCAGATCAATCTTGTGCACTAAGAAGATGAAGACGCGGCGGCCGGCCACTTCAAAAGCAGTGGTTAAAGGAACCGATCATATTTGTTTACTTTTTGAGAATTATACCACACGTCAAGTTTCGCGGTGGTTGGTCGATGAGCATGACAATGGTACAACAAACTTGTAAGAGGAAAAAGATGAAATCTTGAATGATGCTTTGCTAGCTTTTTAAAAATAATAAACAACACATATCAAGATCAACTTAATGGTCCATAGAAGTTGAAAGTTAGCGTGACTTTCGCGCGCTAATGTCAGTGAATCCTTATCCGTGTGCAATGAGAACAAGTGTCAATTCAAAAATTATTATTTTTCCTTTCAAAAGATAAAGTTTTTGTTGGAAAAAATATTCAAATCAAACCTAAACAGCTATATAAACATTTCAAAAAAAATATGAAATTTCTTCCATACATAAACACATTTATTCAAGTTTTGAGCAACTATCTCATTACTTTGAAGATAAATTTTATGATTCAATGTTGTGTAGCAAAATTTGTCCTTTCCTTTTTTTGTTATATATACACAATAACTAAAAACAGCACCAAAGTAGCTCATGTTTCATAGAGATAAAAACAAAAGACTAGCTAAGAGTAAGAAGGATGTGCTAGAAAGAATAAAAAAGACAACCAAACTTCCCCTACTAGGAATAATGACAATACAAGATTAATTCTCCATAATCTTTGGACTGCTGTACATTTTCACGATCACTTGTAAACTCTCTGGTTTCTCTCTTTCTTCAAGCCATTCATATTCTTTCTTTTCTTCTTCTGGTATGGATGTTTCATCAACTGAAATTTCAAAAACAATCATTGCATTGTAAGACTAAGAAAATATGGATGTCTTCAACACGAACATGATACATTCATAAGAAAGAATGTGTGTGTGATGTCCAACATGTGTCTGCCTTTAACACGGACATGACACATTCATAAGTGTGTATATGATGTCTAACATATGTCTCTCTTCAACACACAGATGACACATTCATAAGAAAGTGTGTCAGACTGATATCCAACATATGTCTGTCTTCAACACGGACATGACACATTCATAAGAAAGTGTGTGTCTGATGTCAACATATGTGTGACTTCGGACATTGACACATACATATGTGGTTATATACAAAATTTAAGTGTGTTCAGATAACGGATAATAGATAAAGTCTTGTCCTTTAAGTCATTAAAACTAGCTGTTTATGTACCTGGAAAGTTGGAGAAAGGAAAACTTTGGTAATATGCGCAGTGTCTGCCATCAGGATCAGAGTAGGGAGGACCAAGAACATCTAGAACTGCACAAGCTGTGACTGCAGTGAAGCAATGCATGTTGCCACCATCATTAGGATAAAGGATGGAAGGATCACAAGGAGCAGTGAAATCAGCATCAACCTTCACTTTAGCCAATCTTTTCTCCAGTATCTCGGCTGCACCACAATTTCAACATGCACATTAATCTTCTATATTCACTAGTTCCAACAATCGTCACAAAATAAAATTATACTATATCTGATCCTATTCATAAGAAAAAATTTATTTTTTAGATTCGTTGAATATGTAATGTATCTGATCTATATATTGTCCAAATACATTAATTATTCAATGTATTTAAAACGTAAACTTTCTCTGATAAATAGTACCAGAGGAAGAATTTTATAACGCTAGTATGACAATATGCAAGCCTTAGACGCGCTCGTCCAAATAAGAAAACACTCACTTTGATAGGCATCAGCCGGCAAGTTAACAGCCCAATCATAAGATTTGATGTGCATTGTTCCAAACAGAAGCTTACTAAAAACTGTCATTTCAGGATGATTGTGAAGAGGAATTACAGCTGAAGGTGGTAAGCAAAATATTCCCATCTGCAATACATCAAAATCAAAATAAATAAATCAAGTTGCACTCTGAAGTAATGTTGAAAAAATCAGACCGTACCGACAGGAGAGAGGTTAGTTACCGAGAATTTTTCACACTCGAAAATGTGAAGGTATGTAATTTTTGGTGTTCCAGCATTGTTGTTAGTGAAATATGGCATGTCAGGTTTCAATCCAAGGTCTTCTGGTTTTATTCCAGCTACACAAAGAAAAAGAAAAGCCACTGTTAAAAGCGTATCTATCATAGACAGACTCTAATATCGTATCAAAATTTTAGGTTGATCTATCTCAACTCCTACAAAACAAGTTTATAAGGTGAGATTGTCATTATTCATCACTTATAAACACATTTTCATGTCTTGTCTCATCCACACATTGAATTCTTAACACTATTCACTCTCAAACAGTGATAACTACCAAATCATTTATTACATTCACAAGCATTAAATTATGCAATTTTTTACACTTGGACCAATTTATTAGTTTCCAACTACCATAAAATTTAAGTTACCACAAACCTACAACCTGCTACCATCAAGCCTAAAGGTTGACTCTTTCCAAGTTAAACAACACTGACTTCAAGCATTTATGAACCACCTACATTTAACTCATTTTCTTCAAAGAACACCTAATTAGGTTCTTAAATAAATACATCCAAATTGAGTACATTGACGCAATGTGACACTAGGACATCAAAAAGAAACACAAGTAAGATATAACCATTCATTAAAAAGACAATGTTATACACAACCCTCTACACTGATCCATCTGAAAAAAGTGTGGCTGTGTCAGGTTTCCGAAATTGACACCATCCGAAATTAACACCAACACTTGTGATGTGATTATGTTTAATTTATTCATTTTTTTCAAATTATTATCGGTGTCAACATATCAGTGTTGAGTGTGTTGTTTCTGGTATCGGTCATTCATAAATAGACAATAGTACTGATATCATGGAATGGTAGAAAAACCGTATAATGTGTAAACTTCCTAATGCAAAAACAAGCATATTATGATTAGAAGGACTCAAAATTTCATGTGATCAACACCTTACAATACATAAATGAATCTAGAGAACATGCAACGATAATCAATCTTACACTTTTACAAATCAAATATTTATGAGAAAACAAAAATAATAAATCATTCCAATTTAAAATAATAAAGAACAATTCACATGTAAAAATCGTACACATAGTTTCATTACTGATCCAAAATTTTCAACTTGAAATGACAAATAAAAAATGCAAAACATAAAATATAAAAATTATTAAGGTAAAATATTAAGAGAAATTTGTACCTAAAATAGAACGAAGCAATTCAATGTGCTGAGAAGAAGGAACAACTCCAGGTGAAGCGTTAGCAAAAACATGTTGGCAAGCAAGAAAAAGTTTCTGAACCGGCGACATCTTCATCCACCGACGATGTCGCCGGTTCTTTCTCGACTTCATGTCGTTGGTATTTGTCTCATCAAGCACTTCACACAACTCCCTCCCTTTCATGTCCTTCATGTTTCTCTCAATCCCCATTGAAACAGAGCAAGAAAAAGACCCAGATGAGAAGTACAGAAAAAGATGAGAACTTTAGTAGACGAATGGATTCAGAATGATGAAAGAGAGGTGGGAATGGAGTTTGGGAAAATGGGCGTGGAAGAAGAGGGAGAAAAAATGGAATGAAACAGAAAACAGAGGAAAACAGAGCAATGAGATGAAAAAGACAGAGAGAAAGACAAGTATAAATATGAGGAGAGAGAGAGGGAGGAGAGAGAGAGTGGTTTGGAGAAGTGAAATTGAAAACCAGGGGCCATGTTTAGAATTTCAGTGGGCTGATTTCAAACTGTGGATAATATTTCCACTTTTCTTTTTTCCAGATGTTACTTTTTTTTAGAGATTAAGTATAAAACTTTTTATACGGATATTTTGTATCACAACTATTCACTAATATTGTTTAATAAATAATTAAAATAAAAATAAATTATAATTTATAATTTAATTATTATGATTTATTAATAGTATAAAATTTATTTATATTATCAATGTATTTCAATTAAATTCATTTTTTTCATAATTATTTTATAATATAATACTATTTCTGTTTTTTTTTTAAGTTTAGAGTTAAAGTTGTATATTTATAGAATAAAAATAAAAATTTAACATTTAATTATAACTGATAAGTTTTATATATTTTTATTATAAATTTTTTTACACAATTAATCAATAGAAAATTAACATTTTACGATATTATTAAAAATATTTTAAAATAAAATAGGATATAATTAAATATATAATTGTGATTAGTTGATAATATAAAATTATTTTATAATATTAATGCTCATTTATTTTCTCTTAATTATATTATATAATTTATTTAAAAATAATACTATAATTTAAAATTTAATATAATTATGATTGATCAATCATATATATTTTTTATTATCTAAAATTTAATATTAATGCACTTTCAAACATAAATAATATTACATAAACTTTTAATTATAATATTTTAAAATGTTAAATTATATAAATAATTTAAATTTTATAGTTTGATTTAATAGAATATATGTTTGTTATTGATGGACAATATTTACATTGTCAATATATTATTTTTTTATAAACTTTTTTATTATATGTAACATTAAAAAAATTATAAGTTATTTATAATATAAATAAATTATAATAAAATAAATGATAAACTAAAGTTGTAAAGTAAGTTTGCATCTAACCAGCATTAAATTAAATTATGAAGATATTTTAAAATAATTTAATTGAAATAATAGATTTATAATTTTTTGTTAGACGGCATATTAAAATATTTTACATATTATTTTACATATTTTTTATATTGTTAGTGTATGTCTATTAAATTAAAAAGAAAGTGGTATTAATTTTGTTTCTTAAATTTTTAATTTATCTATAATATTACTAATAAAATAATTTTATACATACGTTTATAATTTCTCTTTTTATATAATAAATATCATACTTTTTAATATTGATAAGATAAAAAACGACTTATGATAAAACAAAAATAATGTATTATTTTTAATAATATTTTTTGTTATTAGAAAGAAATATACAAGATTGGTTGCAAATAATTACAAAATCGAAGAGAATAATCAATATATAAGAAGATGCTTAAGTGCAAAAATAATACAATAAAATTAAGTAATTAAAAGTGTGTTTAAGTTAGTGGTGTACAAAATTGATTCTAGTAAAATTGAATTCGGTATAATTAATTTTATTATAATTGAATTTATTATAATTGATTTATATTTAGATATATTTATATAAAAGTGAGTTGAACAATAAAATCAACTATAATTAATTTTAGAAATTAAAACTACAAATTTTAATTTTAAATAGAATTAATTCTAAAAAAAATTAATTCTGCTTTTATTTAATCAAATATTTCAAAATCATTGTAATCAATTCTTCACTCTTAAAATTACTTTGGATCTTTTCAATTCTGAAACAATTCATAAATATTTGTGGAAGTGGTTTTATATATCATATTTTAAATTTGGCCGAAAATAAATATATATGTTAATTTTTTTAAAAAACGAGTCTGATTCTTATTTGTTAATATTTTTGAAGTGGTATAGATTTTTTATTTATTAATTTGCATATTCAAGAATTTAATTTTGACTTTTGAGCACTAGTTACATTTTTTTTTTTGGAAGATGGAGGGCAAAAGCCCAACAAGAAACAGGAACTACACTTTTGTAAGTCTTTGGAAACACTAACCTCTCACATTGTTTTCATAATCCTCAAACATCTATTGAGGACAAGTATAGTAGTACAATCTGCTAAAACTAACATTACTATGGGCATTTGTCTTCCTGTAAATCTTGCTCCATTTGACATTCATCAAGTTGTCTTCCAGAATGGAGGCAGTAACATCCCGAGACATAATAAAAGAATCACAGTTACATTTAGTATTTAGTAAATAGAAAGTCAACTATTGATGTTAACATTTCAAGTATTATATTTTATTTTGAATTGTGTTCTCTTGATAATAAATATTAATTTCCAATTTTAAATTGAATCCAACTTTAAATTTAATCAGAATGAGACAAAGATGGAAAGATAAATCTTATTTATGATATTTAAGAGAGGGGATAAGGATCATACTCCTTCTAGAATGGTCCAAGCTTTCAAAATATTACAACAATATTTTAAATAACCATCAAAGTTTTAAATAAAACTGTTTTAACTTATGAAAAAATATTAATTCTGATTTATACATTAAATAATAGCCTTAAATATATTATATTTAATATTTTGTTTTAAATTAAAATTTTAGTTTTTCTATTTATAATCATATTTAATGTTTGTAAAAAAAATTATACATGTCTCTTTATTAAAAGACATAGTAAGAAAGAAGTTTACAATAAAGACTAATCTTTTAAATACTATTCTAATTTGATTTTTGATGAAAAAGAAGATTTGATTAATGAGTCATTATTTTAAATTATGAAATTAAATTAATCGATTTATTATATAAATCATAATTAATTATTTAAATACAAAAAGAGAAAGACAAATATAATTCTTAATCGTCAATCTTTTAGAAGTGGCTTCTAGACTATTCTTTAGTTTGCATTTCTAGAAGCTTAATTTATTTTTAAAAACTTAATTTTAAACACTAACCAAACTTAATTATGAAGAATTGCTATAATGGTGAAGATTTAAGTTTTGAGAGTATATTTTTTTTAAATATTCAGATTCAAAATCCTAGTAAATGTTAATTATTTTTGTGATTGAGTAGTTCATACAAAACTTTACAAAGGGATGATGGAATTAGATCTCTTGAATTAATAAGTTGCGAGGCAGAATATCAGATTAAAAAAATACTAATAAAACTTAACAAGTAAAGACGACTTAAACACCGCCATCTCAATTTTAAAGTATTTGCCCCTATATTATTATGGATATTAATTTTTTATATTTATATGAGAATCCAAGTAAGGATTGCACTATTATGGATTTGTAGTTGTTTGCAATACCTCAAAAATTTTGTTTATATTTTTAATCTAAAATCATTTGTGTTATATTGTTAGACGTTAGAATGTTTAGACATATGTTTCCACTGTATATAGTCTAAAATTATGTTGGGGTGATGAATCGGTTAATGTGTTAAAGATATAAATTATTATTGGATTATATTATAATAATATATTTATTTATTTAATTTATTAATATTTTATAGAAAAATAATTAATGCACAATCAAATTTATAAATAAAAAAAATTATTTTTTAATTTAAACCCAATGAAATGTTTCAAATAAATTTTTCAAAGAAATAATAGATGAGAAAGAAAAGAGTATCATTGAAATAAAATGGGTGTTTAGAAACAAGCACAATAAAAAGGTATTGATTATTGTTCTAAGGTGCTCAAATGCTCATTTTGTCTTAAATTCGTTTTATTTGACCTAAGATATAAAAGTTAATTCACATGGAAGCAATGTACATTCTCTGATCTTTGTTTTTCACTACACTCATCATGAATTTTGAACTAACTTGAGCGTTAGAATATTAATTATGCAGGTCCATTTGCATCGTCGTAATGGAGATCAACACCACCGGTTCAAGACATCCAGTTCATCAACTAAATTCATTGTTGGTTCTTGAACGTGATAGTGGCGCCATTTAACGACTTCTGAATCCTGATTCCCATAATTTCATATTTAACCTCCGATTTACCAATTTGTAGCCTTTTAAAGTTATTGAATCAAGACCATTTCAGCATCGAGCGAAGAAGATTTGTCACATTCGATCCAATCAGTTATCGTTAATTTCAACCACGATTCATCATATTTCCAAATCTCAGATTCCCTCGAGAACTCCACAAAGAAAAAGAAGAAGAGATCATAGATCCAGATCTAGATCTACACCAAAATTACAAGAGACTGGAGACAATCTCCTTGAAGATCATGTTGAAGATTCATGATCCAACTTCTGATCTAACATTGCCTTTACCTTCTATCGCCAACACAACATTTATTATGGAAAAGTTGAAGATATCATGAGTTCATAGTCTCAAAGGATCTTCGACCGGGATAAGATCGCATCCTACCAGATCTCATAGGTCTTGATGGAGTGGGTCGACCATGCTACATCTTTTCCTTGTCTCTTAGTTTAGTCCCTACTAGAAGAGCAGGCGATTCTAGTGTCGATTTTAGAAAGCTTCTTCCTTTATATGACCTCAGGGAATTTCATCAAGAAGTAGAGACATATGGGCTCAAATATGGTCGAAGAGCAAGAACGTTGAAAAAACTAGCCCTTGGCAGCCTGGTAAGTGCAATAATTTCCATCGGGGTCAGAGCCTAGACGAGGTGGCTCGTAAGAAACTTCCTCTGACTCAATCTTCCTGCCTGGAGCAGTCGACTGCTAAATCTTTTTGGCCTTACCAGCAAAGTAAATGGGACTCACCGACTACACATAGGGAAACAACCTCTAAACTATGGTAGTAAGAAAACCAAGTCTCCTCCAAAGTCACCTCTTGCCGACGATTGTCTCTTATTCTCCCTTCGACATCTTTAGGCCCTAGAAAGATTACCAGATGAAGGGACCATGTTAAGTTACTTTTGAAAGGGTCAGGGGACGAGCCCCTAGAGGAACTTCACCTTCGTCTGACCATACTTTGGAACCTAAGAGATCCGAACATTACCTCAAAGTCAAGCTACAACGATGTTGTAGTTGAAGGTTTACTTATCTAGTCATTCTACTATCTTATTGTATTAAATTTCTTTCATTATAAATGAAAATACATGTCTTATATTT